TATTATTTAGCTATTTTATCATTTGCTCACAATGCCATGAGTGAGCTGTGGGGGTGTCTTGTATGCCAGCGAAGCTCATTTAAAAAGCATTCATACTTACTAATGCACCATTGCATTGTTCAAAACATCCGTAACATGAGTCACATATTTTTTTTTTTACACATTAACATTAGTCTCTGACTGGATGCGTTTCCCACTAAATGTGTATTTACATCAGCGTCTATCACAGCAGGACATCGCAGACCTGAGCAAATTGACCCAGTGACCCTTCTGTGTTTCTTATATAGCCCATCATCCATTTGTGAGTGGTGGGCCTTTGCTTTTAGCCTGCCGTCTGTGCTCAGCGTGCAATGATGGAGCTGTGCATTAGTCAGAGTGCTTTTCAAGGTAAGAGCCATTCAGAGCGCAGACCTAAAGCCTCATCACACCGTCCTGAAGGTGACTGATCGCAAAACACTGACTCATACACCTCTACAAGCTAAGAGGGCAATGCTCCAATAGTCAATATATGATCAATACCGGACTAATTGTAATTAGTAAAGACAGACACGATGAGTCTGAAGAACTGGTAACACTTGGATTGACAAAACCCTAAATTGAGTAAATAGAGTCTAAAAGATTTTGATCTTGTCTACCTTTGGACACTTTTAGAGGTGGAAAAAGTCGTCTACCTGCATGTGGTCAAAATGCATTCAAACAGATGACCAGCTATTCTCTGCTGTGACATTCTTTTGCATTACGGGATGGAATTAGGGATGGATGATAAATCAGTATGTACTGTTGGTACACCTTCCTCGATAAATGTTAGTTTCACTTAAATTTGTTAAAGTGTAAACCGATATTAAAGGGATAGGGTGTACTCAACCTTTACTCGTTCCAAAACGTTGAGTTTCTTCACAAAAGAAATTAGTTTAAAAAAAGCTGAAATCTTGTAGCTGTAGCTATACATTCTATTGTTTATTTTAGGGCTTAACATTTTATCATTTGAGCATTGATATCGCAATGTGTGTTTCTGCAATAGTCACATTGCAGGATTCTATGATTTGAAAAAGGTTGAAAATATAGATATTATTAAATATTATTTCTTTAAACTATTTATACAACAATGACCATGTCGTTTTACATTTTATTGTTTAATTTCTGCACTTGAATACTGTTAGACTCACCAGAAAACCATAAAGCACTGTTTATTTATTAATTTTTGCTTGTAATTTAATATGATTTATGCAGATGCACCATATAGAAAAAGACCAACTGATCACAGTCGATCTAAACTAAGGTAATCTTTTCAAATAGAGCTGTTCAAATCATTCATTCATTTTCTTGTAGGCTTAGTCACTTTATTAATCCGGGGTTGCCACAGCGGAATGAACTTCTAACTTATCATGCAAGTTTTTACGCAGCGGATGCCCTTCCAGCCACAACCCATCTCTGGGAAACATCCTCACACACACATTCACACGTACACTCATACACTACTGACAATTTAGCCTACCCAATTCACCTGTACCGCATGTCTTTGGACTGTGGGGGAAACCGGAGCACCCGGAGGAAACCCACGCAAAGGCAGGGAGAACATGCAAACTCCACACAGAAACGCCAACTGAGCCGATAGGTTCAAACCAGCGACCCAGCAACCTTCTTGCTGTGAGGCAACAGCACTACCTACTGCGCCACTGCCTCGCGCCCCTGTTCAAATCAACTACTGAAATTATACTCATATTGCAATATATATTGTGGCAAAACAAAATACTGTAATGTCAGATGTTTCCAATATCATGCAGTGGAACCCTCGAAAGTCAAGGGTTAGGTTTTCAGCATTCTTCTGAATATCATTGTGTTGAACAGAAGAATAAACTCCTAGAGGTTTGGAAACAACTAACATTCAGTAAATAGTGAATAGGATTTCAATTTGGGATGAACTATCTCTTTAAATTTGATTGCAAACTGAATGTCACTGAATCATAAACAGCCAGAAAGGTGCTATATCTGAGGGACAAGATAATGTGTAAAAGTGTCAATAATAAGAGTCGCTCTTTTCAGTATATAGCTTACCATATACTCATTAAAACCTATAAGTATAATACTTATTTTGCAGTGGATTTTACTGATTTTTGTTAGATTCTTATAGGGGGTTCATTCCATTGTGGCAAACCCTGATAAATCTGGGGCTAAGCCAAAGGAATGCAAGTGAGTGAGTGAACTCTTACATTCAATTTTCTTTAACAGAGAAATGTCACTATCTTAATCAACCAGATATTCTATTTAATTACTAAAATTAATATTAACTTGGACTTCATTTTAAAATTGAGCCCAAAAAATGTAAAAAGCCTACAAATGTTCAAATGTAAAATGTTCTCTGTAGACACGCATACATCATTCAGCATAGTTTTGTGACTATCAGAGCTACTTTCCATAATGTTTTCAACTGTTTTCTTGCATTGAAACTGTAAATAGTGTAGGCTTAATTCCCAATATTGACTCAAATGAAAAATGAAAAAAGCTCCACAATATATGTGTCTACACACCAAAAGAAATCAGGAAAGTGCTCAAAAGTGGACAAAAGTGAGAGGATAAAACAACAGTTTTAATCGAAACGAGTCCGAAATGAGTACACGTCTTTATCCCAGGTGTGCGCAGAGCTTGAAACAAGAGACGGGATGAAAAAGCTGATTCATTCAATCAGCAGTTTAAATGCTGCCACCTCAAACTACGCCAAACATCACATTCGCAAATGAAATATTCTTTCCAAATGATGAGGGGCTTGTCAGATGATTGCTTCAAAAGTGTCTCCGGCATCAACTGACAGGTGAGGAAAAGTGTTCAAGTACTCTTGAATTGGAGCAACATCAAGCAGAAAAAATTATGTATATTTAAAACATAAAATAAGATCTACATGTAATCAAATGTCTGTTCTTTTCTGCATTTGACACTAGTTGTTTTCTTAAACACAGGATATAGAGTGCCTTACATCTCTCTAAAGTATAGTGCATGGAGCAGCTCTTGTCAAATAACACAGGATTATCCCTTGTATTGCTCACAGAGCTTTTACAGTAAGACAAAAAAAAAAAAGAGTTAAGGGAATTGTCAGACAAAAGCTAAAAACAACACAGAGATCACGGAGTGGTACAGCAGCTTTCCTGAGTGAAAATGAGGTGAAACAAGGACTGCGCCTGAAAATGACGGAAGAATTTTTATGTAGGCTACAGTTTATAGCAACTACATGGCTAGAAAAAATTTACTATTAAACATGTATAGAATTAATTGTAATCAATGTTTTAAAGATGAAAATACACTATGTAGGACCTTGCAATGATATAAACAAAACTGATGTCAAACATTACACACCAGGGTCAAATAGCATAAAGGGTAAGCATAAAATATTACTGCAGGAGTGTTATAATTTCAAGACATGTATAAAATGAAGTGCAAAATATTTTTAGGATAAAGCAAAATGCATTCACTGTAAAAAAAAAAAAGATGATCAATTACTTCTGACAGCATATGTTTTAGGTCGTTGTAACTTATTAAACTAGGTTTATCATGTTCTAACTTAATTTTCTAAGTTATGAGAGCTGTTTAAAGTTAGCTTAATATAATATAAGTTTAAATGGACACATATGGTTAATTTGATTCAGCTTAAAATTTTAAGGCAACCAGGATTTTGTTGCTGCGGTATCCAGTGTATGAATTGTAATCAGTGATTGAAACATGAACAGGCACTACAGTATGTCAGTACCTGTACTGATAAAATCATCTTTAAGATTAGTTATTATAAACTACATATTTTAACAGAATGTAGTCATTCATTTGTTAATATATGAAATTGTTCATGTTAGTATTAACTGCATTAATGTATTAGAAAATGTAGAAACTAATATTAACTAAAATTATTAACTGCTGTATATGTATTTTTTTAGGCTAGTTGATGCTGAGCAATATAGCAAATTGTTTTGAGTGATACAAGAATTACAGTTCCTCAGACAAATACATTAAACATACTGTAAACTTCACTAAAGATGTCACTTTTTCTGTTGAAGGTGTAGTGTAAAGACACTATTAGGATAAAACTGGCCTTAAGTTTTTACAAAAGTATATCAAACTCATTTTGAAAGCTTCATATTTAAAATAATGAGTTTTGATATAGTTTTTATCTTTACACAGCACAATTTCAACCCTCCCACAAATTAAAAAAAATGTAATTTGATATATTTAAAGAAGCCTACTTCAGCTTGTATTGATTTCCTTTTATGTGAAATGCCATTTACAGTGACTTGCTAAAAGCCACTAATAATTATTTGCTGCAGATTAAATCATTATGATCACCGAAAGTGCATTTCACATTTAAATCAGAATATAAAAATTACGTTTATTTATCTCAACACACCGTGATCCCTCAAATTCAAAACCTGTTGAACCTCAAAAGTTTTCACTTAGTTATATACGATCATCTTCAAATTACTAATCTGATAAATCAGCAGCAAAACATGCTGGATGTGTATTCCTACTAACTATATCACATGCAGTAAACTGAACTACGAAAAAATAAGGGGGAAATGAAAACAACAGACCGAAAGCCAGAGCACCGGCTCGTACAAAAATAATACAGTGCTATAAATAAATATGAAATCAGAGCGTGGAACAAAAAGGATCTAGACTGTCAGGCGCAGCGCTGTCCATCCTGTGCGTGCTTTATCACAATTACACCGATGACTTTGTGACTTACGAGTCCATCTGTTGTGCAATGCGTGATGACAGAACACATTTACACTCGCGTGCACAACAAAGTGCCAGTGAGCCGTCTTAAATCACGCAAATCTCAAAGCGGAGTTTTTCATTATTATTATTCTCTCCGCCAACAAATGTACAATACAGTGAGAAATGGGTCTCGCGCTCACATCATCTGCCCGTCGGGCTCCGTGGAGATGCGCGTTCCCTCTTTCGCTAATCGCGTGGACAAGTAATTTTAGTGTTTAAAATGTAAAAACACAAATCCTTACCTTGCCCTCGTGCCATCCCAATACCAGCAAATACGACCAGGATCAGAACGACCATGCTTGGTTTGTAATTTCTAGTCGAGTTCATGCTCACGGCAGTGGGATCCTTTCACAGAAAATATGTCCTTGCATTAAAACACTTTCCGAATAATTAAAGAGGAGCAAGACGCAGGAGTTCCGCGAGGAGAAGAGGTCGCCACGCGAAACGGGCAGCTCTGATCAGATTTGTAATTGTGGACGGAGGAGAAGCCAGAGAATGTTCAATTTCTGTCAGCACCTCTCAGACTGAGTCGAGCCGTTTCAGCACCGCGGACAGCTCCTAGCGTCAGCAACTGGAACAACTTCAGGCTTCGCGCAAAGTTTGTACCGTACATAATCTAATAGTGCCCTCGATTAAATGCCTCTCGAGTGCTAGCGTTTGTATTTCATTTCAACTGCTGACTGAGGCGGGAAGAGGGGAGAGGTCGACTCAGCTGTACAAGATTTAAGTGCTCCGGTTAGCCCTAAATCGCGTGACCTTTTTTTCTCAACTTAGTCTAAAGATTTCAAAAATGTATTTCAGAAAATAATAACTGAGATGAAATAAAGTACATATTTTCTGCTTTTTCGGGACTTTTAAATGTCTGTTTTAACTGTAATTTTTTTGTTATAAATTAAATATCAAAAGAATAAAAAAGAGGCTATATTTTTTTTCACACTTATTTTATTGTGAGTACACTCAAAAAATTCCACCCTCTACATAATTCCTTCATACTCAGACCAGCCTGTCTGGCACCAACAACCATGCCACATTCAAAGTCACTTAAATCACCTTTCTTCCCCATTCTGATGCCTTGGCTTGAACTGCAGCAGATCGTCTTTACCACATCTACATGTCTAAATGCATTGAGTTGCTGCCATGTGATTGACTAATTAGAAATTTGCATTAATGAGCAGTTAGACAGGCATACCTAATAAAGTGGCCGGTGAGTATGTGCATAATTATAAAAATGTAGTTAAATCAGCTTTAGGTTTCAAAGGGTTTGCTCACTTTTTCCCATTTAAAGGCAACAGGTTTACTCACTTTAAGTAAATAATTTTACAGTGAACCAATAAAAATATGTAAACAACATTCAATAACAACAAAAAAACAGATGCTCATATTATATTCAAGAATTCAGACTTATTTTTCATGAAAAGCTGGTCTGTTCATGACAAATGGAATGATTTCAATAAAACATCTCATTTATAAAAATATATACATAAATTGGCCTTGAGAATATGTTTGAAAACTTTTAAAAAATGACAACTATTCAAGATGTAAGGAAAGTATTTTAGCACTTTATACCTGATGTTTACACAGCTTGTTATACCTGTCTCTAAACAATAATTTTCCAATTAAAGAAATAATACAGCTATTTACAACACAGCCAAGGTTGTTTTTTGTTTTTTTTTTCTGCATTCGTTCCCCACAGGAATGGGTCATTCTGGTGAATAAAAACATCTAATTATAAGCAAACTGCCTCAGTTTATAGCTTTAATTTAAAGGAATCTGGAGAGAACAAAACAATCTGAAAACATTCCTTTTCTAAAAATTACCCATACAATGACCTGCTCATCAGTTACCAGTATTTGCACTCCACAAAGAACTAAATGGTGAGGAAAAGAGCAACACTCATGAAATATACATGAGGTGAGACAGAGGACTTTGTGCCAATAATATAGAAATGTTAAGTGATGCCGCAGAGCGAAGAGTTATGAATATGAACGTTAACCACCAAATGTTAATGCAGTCCTCATCTGCCGGCCATTATTGGAATTATAGGAAGCCATCATCACCTTTTCATTCCACCATATTTCCCTCAGAGCCCCGCTCATGTTGATGTGGAAATGTTCTCTGGCTGTCTGTGCAATAATTACTATTCCAATCTCAACGGCGAGACTGAAACTGGTAATTATAATTGCACACTGCAGAAATAAGAATGCGGAATTTACAACCTGTTTAGACAAACTTAACAAGGAGAAAATGATTGATTTCTTGATTGGAGCGGAGCAGCTTTAACCAGCTGCACTATCTTTTGTCTGTTTGAATGCATATGTTTCTCCAAAAAAAATAAATAAATAAAAAATTGGGGCTATTCCCTGAAGCTAGACTGGGACGGAGTTCACTGAAGCATTAAGGTTGCCTGTGCCTACAAGCCAGTGTCCTGAGGTTAAATCATCTCTGCATGTCAGTGCTTTAAGGGATATTTTAAAAAAAGGAAAATGCTATCATTATTTAACACATGAAATCAAAACCATACTGACCATATTTCAGACCTAGTATTTCACGATTTTTTGTGATTTTTTTGTGCTAAAAAAAATTGGTGGTTATTCCCAGAAATTTGCGGACAATTTTGCGATAAAAAATATATATAAATATAAAAATGATATATACCTACATACATACATACATACATATATATATATATATATATATATATATATATATATATATATATATATATATATATATATATATATATATACTGTATATATATACTGTATGTATATACTGTATGTATATAAATATATATATATATATATATATATATATATATATATATATATATATATATATATATATACACACACACACACAAATAAATATATGTACATATATACACACACACCGACACACACCGACACACACACACACACACACACACACACACACACACACACACACACACACACACACACACACACACACACACACACACACACACAGTTAAAGTCAGAATTAAAACTAAATAGTTTTTGACCTTGGATGAATGTATCGTAAGAAACTTTAAATTGGGTGGAGGGTGGGGTGGGGGGTAGTATATTCTCTACAAAAATGTTGTAATTATTTCTTTATTAGTATTCAGGGATGGCATTCACTGTGCAATAAAATAACACACACATACACACGCACACAAAACACTATACTACATTCCCTGCTCCACACTTGTGCAGATCAAACATGTTGCATCTTGAAACAAAAATTTTAATTTCAGCCTCCTGGCTTTTGTTTATTTCATTAAAAGTGTGTTATTTCTTTGTGTGGTAATGTTATGTGTGCATTCTCAAATAACTAACACAACTATAAATATGTTTTAGATTATGCCAATGTTACTTCTCAAATGTATACAAACAGTGCAATATCTGAAAAATCCAAAGATCTTTATGCTTTCAAAATCCTTCTTTCGATAAAAGCATTACTTGACATTTGTTGAAGTAATCACTATGTTCTTGTTTAAGACATAATGAGCTATAATAAAGAGCACCTGTTTGCGATAATATAGCTTGCAAATTAGTTTGCATTAATAAAGCTGCATGCGGCAGTAATAGGTTGCACAGATGTAATTCAGCTTTCTGTTATATTATTCATTTTATTATTCTTTTGTTACCTTCTTTTGTTATTCTACACCACATTTTTACATCTTTACAACTGAAGCTATTTTTAAGGTTTATTTTATTACTCAGACTTAACCCTGGAATAGCTGCAATACTTCCTAAAAGAAGACATTTGTGTTTAGTTTTGGAACAATTCTGTATTTGAATGTAGGCATGGGGCGTTAAACGGTTTAAGGTTTACTGTGGGTTGGAAAAGTCGAGGTTTTAAAACCGCTACAAATTTCTGTTATATTGTTCCTTAGATATACGTGAGGGTTTTTCTATGTGTTTTTATGTGTTGTAAAAAATGTGTGGTATAGAAATAAAAAGAGAGCACAGAATCAACAACTTATTTGAAATATTTTGGCCTGACATGTTTGCTGTTCCAAAAATATTATAAAAGTTTTCTAAAATAAAATATATTGTGCTCAATAGCGGAAAATTTTTAGTTTTTTTTATCTAGACATTTAAAAAGAAATTATTTTAGAGCAGTAATGTCAATACCTTGAAACCGTAAAACCGTGATATTTTTATCCAAGATTAGCATACCGTCAGAAATGTATACCAGCCCATCTCTATTTGAATGACAAATCAATTAAGTCAATGATTATTTTAAGTGACTTGTTTAGTTTCTAAATTAATATGTCATTTTAAACAAATCATTTGAACTCTTCAGTAAATCTCTCATTACCACAGGGACTTGCTGCTACCAACTAGCAGTGTTGGGTACGTTCCTTTAAAAGAGTAACTAGTTATAGTTAATAGTTACCTCTCACAATTAGTAACTGAGTTAGTAACTGAGTTGTATAATAATAAAAGTAACTTATTACCAGGCAAAGTATCTAATGCGCTACTTAAAATTTATTTTTTAGTCATTTGACAAATTATATATATATATATATATATATATATATATATATATATATATATTTATATGTTTATAATTTGTCAAATGACTAAAAAATAAATATACAACTTTGTACACTAAGCTACTCTATTTTAATGTCGTTGTGGGACAATGTGTAAGACAACCATCGAATACAATATATCATTATTCATTATAAATATTATCATTACTATAGTAGCACGATATATTGATTAGAACTTTAAGGAAAAAGTAATGCTTTTATTTCCAGTTTGCAAAAGCTACTTTTGAACTTGTTGGATTTGCGATTGTTCTGACTCCTGGTTGTTGGTGTGTGCAACTCACTGGGCGTGTGCTTGTGTGTGAACACCCGCACTACTGTCCCTCTGACTGGTAAACGATGAAAATGTACTCCATCTAAGCCAATCATCACATTCTCGTTTACACAAACACACTAATCATCATCGCATCATCCCCTTCACGTGCAAATGCATCATGCAGCGCCTGCAGTTAAACTCACAGCGGTTTATGACACTTTTATAAATCTTTTTTCCTCAATTAACAGCAAGAACAAACATAGGTTATGCTTGTCAATCAGACAACACTTCTAATTATATTCAATAGAATTTGAAATGTTAAATGGGACAAATCTTTACTCAATTTTGAAAGTAAAACATACTCTAATAGGTAGTGTAGTCTACACAACATTAAGCACAGTGTGTAAGTAGGTAGGCTAATTTAATCCTTTATTTAATTTTAATTTATTTAATCCAATATTTGGCCGAGTTTTTGACAGCTTTTGGGCTGGAACACTGCAACACTGCCCAGAGAAAAAGAGGTCCTATTGTTGAGAAACTTACAGTATAAAACTTCAAACTTCAGTATTCACAATTATAGTAACGCGTATTTTATTGTCATTAACGGAAATTGGTGTTGTAACAAGGGAAACAGTAACTTATTTAATTACTCATTACTGAATAAAGTATCTGAATAAAAGCATTGCCTACAAGTGGTTTTAGCCTAGTTTTTATTTCTCTATGACAGGCAAAGAAGGGTACAGTACTGTACCAGCACAGAAAAATGATCACTATTGAAAAAATATTTCAAGCATTATTGAGAGATCTTATTTTGTCAATATCACACATCCCTGGCT